AGTCAGAACTGGTTAATTATTTATTTGTCTTATTTAACTGATTACATGAATTTACAGCTTTAAATATATGATAATATATTGAAATGATTAAACGATTCAGTTGTATTTTCTTGATGTATATATCGCTTGTCTTGCGTGATTTATGTTTGATTTGTGAAATTTAAAATTAATATGCAAATGAAAAATTACTTGCTTATGTGAATTAATGAATAGTTGTCTTACTGGATATCCTGCGAGATGGTGGACGGACTGGGTACATAAGAAAGCTTATCGTGAACATTACCTCATACCAGATAGGGTATCGAGAGATGGTATTTTTAGTGCTCATACCGAACGAGGTATGGGAACTGCCCGATTCACCCTCATAACGGATGGAGTATCGATGGATGGTATTTTTGGTGTTCATACCAGATGAGGTATAGGGACTGCTGGTTAGTTGACAAGTTTAAATATTAGGTTCACGCGTAGTGAGACACTCCTATGGACCCCTAAGGATACTAGTGAGTAAAATAAAAAAGAAAAGTTATTGTTCTTACTTACTTGAATATGATATCATAATGTTATTTGAGTTATTGTCTCTATAGGTCAGTTTTGAAAATCTCGCAACGGTAAATATGCAATAAATGATTTTTCTTATGATAAATGAATTTACTTAAATTAAGAGCTCAATTGGTTATTTTTATGATTTTTACCAACCTTCGGTTCCTATATCGGTGAGTAGTGTGATATTCTTATTGGGTTAGTGTAGCTCACCTCCTCCCCTATTAACAATTTCAGATTAAAAAGATCAAGATCATGAGGGCTATGAGTAGGTGTCTCCCCGGATCCTATCAAAAGATAGTGGAGGTTAACCTCCCTACAATATTTATTTACTATTTTTATATGTTATTACATTTTTTGTTTTATGAATCGTTGTGAAAAAAAATTTCTATAACCCTATTGGGAATGCTAATTTATGTATAAGAAATGTAAATTCTAATGTTATTATACGTTTCCGTATTTAATTTATGATCTTGTTTTTCATTTAAGTTCTGGATATTTACATAACTATGATACTTCATTTTGAGGAATAGAAAAACAGTGCTTAGTAAAGATCCAATCCGAATTATTTTTATAAAATAGTGATTGATCCACATTATAAGGCCATAGCTCTTTTTGAGTGAAAAAGGAATATCATATATATTAATTAATACAGAAAAAGAATATATTAAATGGAAGAGTTATAATATTAGAACTATGATCAAAATTAATGTGTAAGTGTGTTGGTCTATGTATGATTAGGAATCTTTAGGTTATGTAGAAAATATTTTAAAGTTTAGGAAGTTAAGCATTAAATTAGTATAATTTTGTTATAGATCAGCAATTCCTATTTTAGCATAGTTTTAAATAATAAACATCTTTTTGTTCGGAATTTTATTTTTTATTATGGTGGTATGCTCGATATTTATTAAGGGGTACCTCTAACATAATATAAATTTCTTTATGATACTAGAGTTCATAGACTCTTCTTATTGATTTATTATGCCTATTTTTGTTGAGTTGTATACCAGTTTGGAGCTCAGGGTGTTTTCTTTATAAGGATTTCTTTTCTCATAAGATCCCCTTCTATATAATGAGAAATCCTAGTTATAAGATAGAGTTCTTCAATAATGAAAACTTTTCGCAAGTGACTTTGGCACAGAGGCACTTTTGCGAAACAATGTCTAAGAAATTACCATGTTCTTTCTCTCTTTTACTTCTACTTTAATCTGTATGTGCTGTGTGTATCTTTTTGTTATAACTTGATTTCATGCTTGTTTGGAATCCGCATGTTTGGTTTTATTTCTTTCCTCAAGAAGATCAAGTTGCAAGTTTCAATTTGAACCAAATGTCTCAAAGTTCAATTTCTTAATGCCTCATCATTTTAAACTCAGGTCCAAATTTTCACGAAGTTGGGGAGAATAATGCAGGACAAAAAGACACTAAAACAGAAGGATTATAGTATTAAGAAGAAAATAATCTTATAATAAGTACTTAATTATGAAGTTCTGTATACTGTTATGAACATTTAGCCTATTAGGAGATATTTTTGTGATTAAGTTATGTATTATTTAGATGTTTTCTTTAAGAAAACAAGGCAGCATGAGAAGGGGATTTTGACACCCTCAGCAGCTCTTTAGTTTTTCCTCTCCTAGATTACCCAGAACATAGCCAAAGAAGTAAGGGGAATAACCCTCTTAAGATTCTTGTTAACTTTGATGCCATTCCAAACCTAGATTCTGGCCCGATTGATCTGCCGATTGCCTGACCCAGCTTCAGCAGGCTTAAGAAAGACTCCCATAGGCATTGCAAAAGGAGGTGACTAGGAGACTTGACTCCTCATCTTTTGGCAAAGAAAGAATCTGGTAACCATAACCTTACTCTCTTCTTTAGTGTAAACTTCTCATAGAACTGACTTGCTTATGGGAGATACCCCCCAACTGCTGATAATGTTTATATTCTGACCATAATGGTCCGTAATAGTTTAGCAATAAAAAAAAAAAAAATGTAGAGTGATTTCACCTTGAAATTGCTCTCTTTCATTCACTTCCACTGGATTGATCAAATTTGCTCAAGCCATGAACGGAATGCAGGAAGGTGTTCCAGGTGCTGACCATTGGTTCGTTGGAACTTCTATTTAAAAATTTATTACTTTACGTAAAGTTAGTGCAAATATTTGTCTATAAAGTAACCTGCTAGATAACAAGCTTCATTTCAGGATTCATACATGCTATACCTACACGACGCCATTCCCTGCAAAGAGTACAGAAACTGAAGAAGCACTTGGAGCATTGGGCATACTGCTCATCATCCTCTATGCAGGTTGTTTCACATCTCGGGCAGTAAGCAATATCAGAGATGGACTCTAATGTCTTTTGTCACATCAATGACTCCAAACATTCAAATTCTCCATCACCTAACAACAACTGTCTCAGCAAGCCAGGTGGTATCATACCTCCACTTTTTTCGCTTGGACATTGAAGTGTGCTTACAGTCCCTTCTGAGACATGTACATCAGAATATGTTTTCATATATTTACAGCAGAAGAAATGCTGACAAGGCAACCCGATGAATTCAGTATTTGTTTAAGATTTTTTAAAAAATAAATAAATAATCCAAAAATACCATAGTTCAAACTTGTTATTGAAGGGGGGGGGGGGGGGGGGAGGAGTCTTGTGAACTGTTCTCACAGGAAATGATACAGAATTGTGATGTGAGGGTTAACAGTCGCTAGGGTCGAGCTGAACTCTATGCAGAACATGCTCGCTTTTACCTTAATTGTCGCCAATACAATGCAAAGGCGAGCAAAGATTGATGATAACCTCCGATGTGATCTCAAGTTAATCCTCTTGTTTGATACCTTGACAGGTAGGGAATAACAATCATATTCTTTGCTGGGCATGCCAAGTTCATTACTGTTATTTATGCAGAAAAATTGTTAGGCGTAGTTTTCAACATTATGGACCCAAGGGTTGCAAGCAGCAAACTACGGGATAAGAGGTGCTTCTTCTTATTCAACAAATCGTAAAATAGATATTGTATAAAGTTTGTTTTTATTCAATTATTTGATGGTAATAATAGTACCCTAAGGATTCAGAAAATATTGAATTTCTGCTTAAATAAAAAAATAAAAAAAAAAAAAAAATTGTTGATAGAAATTCAAAATGACCCAATTTTCTTTTTGACTCAAATTGGCGAAGTATAAAAGTTTGTGAATTAAGTTTAAATTTTTGAATTTATGTAAATGAGTAGCTGCATTGGTCAGAAAGGGAAAGAGAGTTGCCAACTCCTTCAACCACAAAAGAGGATGCAACATTTTGAATCATGTCAAGGTCATTCATTTTCAACTCTTATATATATATATATATAAATAAAACAGAGTTAAATATAATTACGTGTATTAATTATATAATTAGAGTTGGGTTGGTGGCTTGGGCTTGAGTATTAAGTACTCTAAATTTGGGTTATTAAAGGAATCTTTCAATTAACCATTTATAAATCACATAATTAGAAGAGGAGGATGCTCATAATAATAATAATAAACAAACATATTTAATGCTTCAAATCATCATTATAATTCCAACTCCTTCAACTGTCTCATCTCACCATCATTGCTTTTTTTTTTGTTCCCCCCACCCAACAATAAACCACTCTTAACTCAACTACTTTAATCTTAACTGAGACTACTCTTTTATAAGATTTAATCATATTGAACATTATGACTCTCTTTTTTTTTTTTTTTTTAAAAAAAAAATAATAATAATAAAATTATTCAAGTATAATTTAACAGCATAAAATGTTATCTAAATATATAGATATATATTACTTAAAATGAAGGGTTTATGGGGTTTATATTTAAAAAAAAAAAATTAGAACACTTCATGATTAAAATTTTAATACTGACATGTCAAATTTTACTTAATGCTAATATGTAATAAAATGAATAAATTTATAAAAAATTTAGATTCAGATTTATAAAATTTATTTTTGCAAATACTTGATTGAAGTTTTTCTTTCAAAATTTACATAAGGTAAAATAAAATAAAATACCAAAAGGGTTTTTCTTTCCATTATCATTAGGATTATATACTGTTAAACCTTAATTGATAGCAATTTAGATATTCAAAACTTTCAAAATTTTAATTTATTTAGAGCATATGAATTAAGTAAAAAACTGAAATGTTGATTCCCAAATTAGTAAATGAAAATTATTAAAATATTAAAATGCTTTAAACAATAAAATTTATTTTAAAGTGCGCCATATCTTAAAATATGTGAAATATGAAAAAAGCATACCCTCAAGACAGACACCAATTATTGGCATATACCCAGTTGAGCATGCTTGGTAATTGCAACAGAGCATACCAAAAAGGAAGTCATGTTTAGATGTAAGAAATGAATTAATGAGAGTAATTAAGTAAATCAAAGTATGATTAATGATATGTTGGAGTCTACTGTTTTGTGTCCCTCTCGTGTCATATCACCCACACTCCATTTGTAAGAAAGAGAGAGAGAGCGTGTGTGTTAATGCAGGTGGAGAATCAAATGCTTTGTGTAAAGACATCCCATTTGCTATTTCAGTGTTTCTTGTCATTTAGAGATGGAGAAAAAAGAGAAAAATTCCACAAAATGAATATCTTTACATACTAAAAAGGCCAAGCAAAAACACCTATATTGTCTCAAAGAAGAAGAATCTCTCTTTGGGTTTTGCATTTTCCATCTTGGCTTCTCTCTCCCTTTTCCTCTCAACCTCAAAAGGTTTTTTTTTTTTTTTTTTTTTGTTTTCATCTCATTCACTGTCACTGCTGCGAATGCTTCTACTTTCTCTGTAAACTTTCCCTCTTTCATTAGGCTTTTCACTCTATGCTACTACTGGTGGTTTGTTTTTTTGTGGGTCGTGGTTGTCGGTGGATTCTCACTTTAATCGTTCCTGTAAGGAACGATGAAAGATGGGTTTACTATGTTTTTTCATTTGTTTAGCTGTTTTAACCCATTTTTGCTTTCTAGATACACCATTTTGGCTTTGCTGGATTCTCCGGGTTACAATCTGCAGGTTTTTTTTTTTTTTTTTTGTCAGATTTACCTTATGGATGCTTTGAAATCTTTCAAAATACTTGATATCCTCATTTTTTTTTCCCTGTTTTGGGCTTTATGCTCCCGTAAGTAATTAGATGTACTTTCATTTCTGCTTCTCCTTTTCGTGGTATTTCTTTTGTTTTAAAATATTCTGCATATCTGTTGTTAGAGGGAAGATAAAGGGGCATACTGGTTGTATTTTAGCAAATTTTTCTTGTGTTTTCTAAACTTGTCGTGCCTAAACTTTTACAGTTGCCAATCCATTTCTTACTAGAAACAAAAGATTCTGTAATGGAACTTAAATTGTTGGATGCATGGTGTTGTTCTTTGTGGGATTTGGATTTCTGTAGATTGTTCGTACTTCGTTTGTTATATCTTCGTGATTTTTGGGGTTCTGATTCCTTTTTTTTTCTTGTTTCTCATGGTAAGTTTCTTTGAAGAAATCGTTGTTAACTGGTTGATCAAGATATCAGCATAGTCTCCTCCTATTTTTAGTAGAAGAGAAGTGTTTTCTGTCATTCCCAATGGTCTCAAGGTCATATTCTAACCTCTTAGATCTTGCTTCTGGCAATTTGCCAAGCCTTGGACGAGAGAAGAAGAGGCTCCCTCGAGTAGCTACTGTTGCTGGGGTTTTGTCTGAGCTAGATGATGATAACAGCAACAGTGTTGGTTCTGATGCTCCATCATCTATTGCTCAAGAACGGATGATCATTGTGGGAAACCAGCTTCCACTTAAAGCACACAGAAATTCAGATGGTGATGGAGAGTGGAGCTTTAGCTGGGATGAGGACTCCCTTCTGTTACAGCTCAAAGATGGTCTGGGGGAAGATGTTGAAGTAATCTATGTTGGTTGTCTTAAGGAAGAAATTGATCCTAGCGAGCATGATGATGTGGCACAAAGGTTGCTTGAAAATTTTAAATGTGTCCCAGCATTTCTTCCTCCTGATCTTTTTAGTAAATTTTATCATGGATTTTGTAAGCAGCATCTCTGGCCTTTATTTCACTACATGCTTCCTCTATCACCAGATCTTGGTGGCCGGTTTGATAGGTCACTTTGGCAAGCTTATGTTTCTGTGAACAAGATATTTGCAGACAAAGTCATGGAGGTGATTAGTCCTGATGATGATTTTGTATGGGTTCATGATTACCATTTGATGGTTTTGCCAACCTTTTTGAGAAAGAGATTTAACAGGGTGAAGCTGGGATTCTTCCTTCATAGTCCATTCCCGTCATCTGAAATTTATCGGACTCTCCCTGTTCGAGATGATCTTCTAAAAGCACTTCTCAATGCCGACCTTATTGGGTTTCATACTTTTGATTACGCCAGGCACTTCCTCTCCTGTTGTAGTAGAATGCTTGGAATTTCCTACCAATCTAAAAGAGGCTACATAGGTCTTGAGTATTATGGCCGCACTGTCAGCATTAAGATTCTTCCTGTTGGGATTCATATAGGTCAGCTTCAATCTGTGCTGAATCTTCCTGAGACTGAATCTAAGGTTGCTGAGTTACGAGATCAATTTGAAGGTCAAACTGTTTTGCTTGGGGTTGATGACATGGATATATTCAAAGGAATCAGCTTGAAACTTTTGGCCATGGAGCAACTGCTGATGCAACATCCTGATAAGAGGGGTGATGTTGTTTTGGTTCAAATTGCTAATCCTGCAAGAGGC